TTTGTTTAAATTCAGCTCAAATAAATTGTTTACAACCTCTTAACTTAAAAGAAACTGTTCTTAAAAGGTAAGAAAAACTCCTGTACTCCTGCAACGTATTAACATAGTAGCCTATTTAGCAGCACCTGGAAACATAAGCTATATGTCATCATATTCATATATAAATATTTAAATTTTTTTTAAAAATATATAGCATGTACATAGGATATATTTGATTCCTCCACATACCACTAGATAGATGCCTGGGTACCACTAGTGGTACACGTACCACAGTTTGAGAACCACTGTCCTATATTATACATCTGAGAATATTGTTTTCAGCACATTTTCAAACTTATTAATAGTTTTAATAACTAAATTGTAATGACTCATTTCTGTTGTCTTTACAATGATGACAGTACATAATATTTGATCAGTGGAATTTAAAGGCATAACTTAGTCTAATAATATTGACCTTAGCAGTTTTATATATACCCAGGGTTCAACGCTAAGGATTTTTTCTACTGGGCCAATTGGGCCAGTGGTTGAGATTTTTACTTGCCCTGCCAAAATTTTTATTGGCCCCACCAAAAAGAAAAAGATTTTTCTTAGCCACATATTTTAAATAATGTCTGTGAATGTAGAATTTAAACATTTTAATAATGTTTATAGATCTATAATGAGTAAAATTCAAGATTTTATGCAAACGAAAGAGCAGTATGGAAAATGTGCTGGTATTTTATTGCAATTCTAAATTATTTTTATAAAAATGGTTTGCCAAACTGACAACTTTTTTTTTTTTGGTTCTTTTTTTTCCCGTTTCTTAATTTTGTATCCATGTAATTGTCTGCTTTGTTACAAACCCCTGATGTTAGTCTAGGGTGTGACATTTATTTAATTAAAATATATTTATATAAACAGTGAATGAGTGGAAAGACAACCAAAGTAATGCCAAAAAATGTGTGCTTTTATTTACAATCCCAAAGTGAACAACAACAACGAATTAATCAAAAATAAAGAAAAAGTAAGTAAAGCAAAAATATACTATTTACAATATACAACACTGAAACAAATAACGACGGGAAAAACAAGAGAGCTGGCAGAAGGGAAGCGGGCGGCGCTAAAGAAATGAAAAGAACAAAACCCAAACTGAATCTAACTTCCCAGAAGCATCTAGCTAACTAACTACGTGAAAAACAGTAATTAACACACGAAGATCTTCCGAGTCCTAACTATCTACTCTATCTATCTATCCAAAAAGTACAAGGAGTGGCGCTCGCCCCTAACCTAGTGTACTAGACAGCAGAGTAGTCCTATGTGTTGCGAAATGTATGTCACGTGACCTTCTTACCTGTCCGCTTCGTCCAAGCCACGTAAACATCGATAAACTAAGAACAATGTACGAATAACGGACGGATAACAAGCACACAGAAACAAGCAACAACAAAACACAGTTAGACGGGGTTATTTCAAAACGCACGCGGTAAATACAAACAAGCGACAAAACAGCGAAAGAGAAAAATGCAAGCAAGAAAGAGCGAGTGGTCTGGCGCGCGCTTTTAAGACGGGTGGTCTTTGCTCATTGGATGTGACGTAACCGGGGAGGAATGACTGACAGCTGAATGGACCAATGAACAGAACCTGAGAATACATGAGAGCAGATACGGGAGAACAGAGCGAGAGAGAGAGAGAGAGAGGGAAAAAACACAGAGAAAACAGAGCACAAAAAACACAAATACATAACATGCTTATAAAGACTTTAGAAACAGACGTTTTCTGTTAGCCTTAAAGTTTGATGTTGTTGCCATGTTGCCTTATTTTCGCTGTACTGGTTGTTACCAGGTTACGGGGAAAAAAATTACGTGCTCATCGTTACTGGCCGACAGGGGCCAGTAACAATCCTGTCTACTGTCCCGAGCGTCTTTCACGCTGGCCATTGTTGAGCCCTGATACCCTTTTTTCAGATTTATTATGAATCATTTTTATCTGCAGAATGTGTCTGTAAAGCTTTAGCTCAAAACACCCATCAGATTTTTTATTATACCTTTGATAAGATTCTGTTTTATACATTTTTGCACTGGGTGGCGGTTTTGCTATTCTGCGCCTTTAAGGCTAGTCCTCCCCGCCCACCGTTTCTGCATGCCTTAATCTCCTCAATCAGCTGCGTCAGACAACAAACAGACATAAAGGAAGCAGATCTCACGTAGCGTTTGTGAGAAATACTACAGTAAGAACTTTACCCATGATTATTTGATGCATTTGCTGTGTTAAGTTACAACGTCAATGTCGTTACAGACTTCAAGCACTCACACACACAGACACACATACCTAGCACGGACACGATACGCACATACATACAGACAGTGCGTTTACCTTTGCACTCTTTTTGTATGCATATGTGACAGGATACAAGCTAATCTCCACTGCTGTATGGGTATCTGTCGTGTTAATGTACAAAAAAACCTGATTTAATGTCCACAAAGCGGGATTGAAGCGTCTTCTTTCATAACTGTTCTGACACGCGGCTGTGCTGATGAAGTAATTCTGAAGTAAATCGCTGTAATTCATTACACACATGCTCTGTTTTAAAACACTTTAAACTTGTGAAACTCACTCTTGATCAAATTGGATGACGATTGTTGATAACTGAACAGAGCTTTTATTCCCGGTTGCATTGCACTCACCTTCTCTTGTTGATCTGATTATACACGTGACTACCAGGACATGTTACGCCACTGTCAATCAAGATTGGTGGGCGGGGGGATTGCACTCCTACGTCAAGTTGCGGTCAGTCTAAAAACAACTGGTCCACCGTTTTTATGTTGTTAAATTGAAAAAAAAAGGACTGGGTGTGTTTATATCACCCCAATATGACCACCTATACACTATACCTACACATATGTTGGTCCAAATAGCTTGAAAAGTAGATTTTTCACCATAGGTGCCCTTTAAATATTTTCCAAATAATGTTTAGCAGAGCAAGGAAATTTTCACAGTATGTCTAATAATATTTTTTTCTTCTGGAGAAAGTCTTATTTGATTTATTTCGGCCAGAATAAATGCGCTATTCATTTATTTTTTAAAGAAACATTTTAAGGTCAAAGTTATTGGCTCCTTTAAGCTATATATATTTTTATATATAATATATATTTAGTTTGCTTTGGCTGCAAAGTTTGATTTGATTGCAAAATGAAGAAAAATGCAAAACTACAGAAAATTAAGAAAAATTTGGAGGAATGCATAAATTCAATACAACAATTGTATTGAATATGAAAATCAGAATGATTAGTTTTTCAAAATACATGTACTATATGCTGTCAACATACAATGTTGCAGGGGCGGACTGGGACTAAAAATCAGCCCTGGCACTGTAGCCACATCAGCCCACATTATCACACCGACACAGCCCCACCCTCGGACACGCACATTCACTACTTTTATTGGTGTACAGATGGTAAAATAATATAAGCAGTACCATATGTAATAGATATTTAATAGATATTTATTTTGTGTTTGGACTTGTGAGGGAAACCGGGAGGAAACCCACACGAACATGCAAACTCCACACAGAAACACCAAATGACCCAGCCGAGGCTCGAACCATTGACCTTTTTGCTGTGAGGCGGTAGCGCTACCCATTGTGCTGCCCCCTTGTGAGACTATTTCAGTTAATTTTATGCATTTAACGGCGTCTGATTTTAGAGCAATTTTTAAGTTTCTCTGAGCTTTTTGGCACCGCCTTTCCTTTTTTTATGGTCCATCTCTGACAATTAGCTTGTGTTGCACCTAATGTATGTTTGACATTCTTGCCAGATTATTATTATGTCCGTGTAACCTCTGATTGGGTCGGCCCATCTCGAAACCAGCTGGCCATTACAGATTGGGCCAATGCTTAACATTTATTATTATTATTACTATTATCATCATCATTAGCCCCTTTCACACAGTGATACCGGTAAATATCTGGAAAATTTCCGGAACGACTTTACCGGTATATTCAAAAAATCGCTGTTCACACAGGCGAGGACGTTATGGAAATTTTCCGGAAAAGAGCATTCACACATCCATTCCAAAATACCGGTAAATTCTGCCATCATTCACCACAAATGAGCTTTAAACGGCTGCGCTTGTATTTGTAAACATTTGACTAAATTACAAACTCTGTGGATGATCAATATTGTGAACAACTTTCGCAGGATCACTTTCTCATGTCGAGATGTTCATAATATGTGCGTGTGCAGGTGCTCACAGGCTGTTTCACAGGCACACGCAAAGCTTAAAGGTAAACAAACAACGGCTTATCATAAGCATCTCATCGATGATTATTTACACAGTTGGCATAAAGAAGAACATATAAACATGATCTGACTAACTTCTAGCAGCTAAATGTGTCTGAAAAAATATTCAAAGGTTTTTATTCTCACAAATCGCGCGGACGTAAATGCGTCTGACTGTTGTGATTGGCTAAAGCAGACGTCTCACGTCAGCACGTTCTAGACGTGCACGCCCTTATTACGGTAATCTTCCTTCTGCATTCACACAGCGCAGCATTCCGGCAAATTGCCAGTAATGTTACAACTTCTCTTTCCGGAAAATAGCCAGAACGAATTTACCGGTATTTTCAAAAAGGACCTGTTCACACATACAACCTTTCCGGAAAATTGCCGGCAATTTTCCGGAAAGGTCTGTATGTGTGAAAGGGGCTATTATCAACATAATCATCATAATATTCACCTCTTGCAAGAAACAAAAACTGCCTGTATGTAAAAGCAATACTTTAATAATAAATAGCATACCGGCCCACATTTAAAAAATGGTCCAGCCCTTCTGGCATTTGCCAGAATTGGCAGATGGCCAGTCTGCCCCTGCTCTGTTGTAACTTGTTGGTCAGCATAGGCATTTAATAGTTAGCTATTTGTGCTTCAATGTCTAAACCAAGAACAACAGGTAGTTTTTGGAGAGCTAAGAGTTAATTCAGTTTGGCACAGATGGCCACGCAGTCTAATCCTCTTTCATAGAGTCCCACTCCTCCTCCTCCTCCTCCTCTCGGGATGAAGGTCTGCCTGTGATAATTAGCCTAATGGAATGAATGACTGTGGATTGACAATATGCAGCTGTGTGCATGTCTGCGCGTAGGTGGAAAGTGACAATCCTCAAGAGAAACGCTTTCAAACGTTGTTTCATCCTCACACGAGCTGCAGAACGGAGCGCTCGGATATTCAGCAAAACCTGTTGAATTCTCAGACTGGATTACTTCACATGTATATGACAAAGTTTGGAGGATTTGGCATCCGAGGAGAATGAATCGGTGCTTACGAGGTAGGACAACGTGGGGAATTAGGACAGAGAGTCAAGATGGCTCTGTCTGTTAAAGGGACAGTGCATCCAAATATTAATATTCGGTCATCATTTCACTTGTTTTGGGTTTCTTTCTTCTGTTTACCACAAAGGAAGATATGCTGGGGGAAGAAGCAGCTATTGATTTGTATTGATCTTATAGAAACTTAATAAAATGTCACGTGATCGCTTGCTCTTTTTAATTAACACTCAGGACACAGTATGTTTCTTTTAGTTTTGCATATAGATATATATGTTAGATACATGTATAGATACTTTATTACTTTTATTTACAAATGTTATTTGTTATATTTAAGCAGACATTTCACTCATGTTTATATAAAATGACTCTTATTTTATTTCATTTGATGCAGAAACCAAAATGGGACATCTCGTTTCTGATCCACATCTGTTTTAGGATCAATTGAAAATACAAATGTAATTAGCAAAGGCTTCAAATGGTTAACGCTTCTGAGAGGCCTTTGATTATACTAGCTCATTACTGGTTACTTAATGCACTTAACAGCACATTAACTTTTCAACATAAAAACTCTAAGGCATTGAAATTGTTTAGTCAATTTTTCAGGTGAGGCATGAAATGAGTTTATGAAAATGTCTACTTAATAAAAAATTTATTACAATGACCGATAACATTGAAGACCAAATGATTATCCCTCTGGTGATATTTTAATTCTTTTTCAAAAATTTCCTATAAGAGCAAGGGTGTTTTCAGTGCGAAATGATTTTCCAGCAAACTGAATGGACCAGATCTAAGAAGGGAATGGATAGTATTTATGTAAATGCCTTTATAGCCCTGATAATAATCATACAGGTTTTCTGTATTCCTATACTGTTAAAAAAATATTGGTTGCCTTAAATTTTTAAGCTGAATCAAATTAACCCATACCTTTCAACACGACAGAAATTTAAATACAGCCATTCAGAAGCACAGAATAGTGCACGTATTCACGAAATAGTAAGGTTCATCAGGGCTCAACAATAAGGACTGCCCGATGGCCCAGGGCCAGCGTGAGAGATGCTCGGGACAGTAGACAGAATCGTTGCTGGCCCGATCGGGGCAGTGCTGCCTTGTCACTAAATTTAAATAGACGGCAACATGACCGTAACATCAAGTTATGAGGCTAAAAGAAAACGTTTGTTTCTAACGTTGTGGAAACATTTAAATGAGTACAGCACGAAAAAAAAAATTGAAGTGATGTTTTGCATAGTTTGTGGTCACTTTTAAGTCAGCCACCTTTTGTTTTAGAATAAAATACCTGCGCATTTTCCATACTGCTATGTTTTACTACTAAATATTTAAACATTTTTCAAACATTTAAAATCTGCATTCAAATACATTATTTCGTGACGCATTATTTAATATATGTGGCTAATAAATAGCAATTAACTTTCTTATTTTTAGTGGGGCCAGTGAAAATTTTGGCTGGGCAAGTAAAAATCTGAACCACAGGTCCAATCGGGCCAGTTAAAAAAATCCTTAGCGTTGAACCCTGGTTCATAATTTAATTAATACATATCAAACCTATTTAACACTATTTTTAACATCTAAATGTTGATCCTGAATCACTGATATGTGTTGGTTTTGAGTCACAGTTCTAAAGTTCAATTTTAAACGGTTTATTTTATTTTCCACTGTCAAAGGGTACCTAAAAGCGAACGGTACCATACCACTTTTTCGGCACTCTTTGCAAAGTGTACCAAAAGGTACCATAAGGCAGCGCTAGACACGCAGCTGAACGTATTGGTTTACAGAGATACGTCATTCGCTCACGCAACAAGCCAGAATGAAAACAAAGGAACCGCCATGTTTTAAATACACAGCCGAGACATTACACCGTAATAATATATACATATAATAACGAGCCATGGTCGACCCGAGCTCAAACAAACCTTGTCGTCTTTATGAACAGCCACAGAGCCAAGTACCCGATTATCTTTTACCCTGTGCCCCGTAGTTTTTTTACGAACCAGTCTAAAGCGTGAGTGTTTTTGCTTTCTTGCTTGCCCTCGCCGTGCGTCTATATTTGAAATAGCAAACTTCTTAAGCTCATAATAATAACGTGCGCTTCATTATTGACGTGCTTTTGAAAACCCGATATTGTCAGAAACTGACAAACGAGAAAGTGATGTGCGAAAATACAAAGGAGAAGTCGGAAAAAGGAACATTCTTTTTTTAGCAAACGTGAACAAACTGGCATGTTAAACTATTATCATCACCTTTTGGACTATTATGAACTCAGATTGACAGAATTACTCTCTCACAGAAGCTACATGTGCTGCTGAAGATTAAAGACAAAGATGAGAGGTTTGCTCTGACTGTGGGCTATATTTTGTGTTGTTTTTGAACCCAAATAAGGACTAAATGCATGCTGTGTGTAGTTTATCTGTAACTGGTAACATATCGGAAACTGCAAGAGTCTGTTTGTGTTCATATATGTTGCATTAATTTTTTTATTTCATGTAATTGCAGACATTACTGTAGGCTATTTCGCACTGTCATTGATCTGCAGTTATAATCAAATCATGTTCATAGAAAAGTTAGTTAATAAACATTTATACACAAGTATTTATGTGTATAAAGCATCTGTTTTGTGTGAAGTGCTTCTCATATGATATGTAAACGACCTGTACAACTTTACTTTTAGACATTTTCTCGAGCGAAAATGACATTGACTGAAACTTTCTGTTGCACACCACACCCACCAAAACCATTGGTACCCTTTTAGCAGTGGAAACGCAAGCCTGATAAAGGTGACCCGTACTGTACTGTACTGTATGTACAACTCAGTGGAAACGGGCCATATCTGCTGCTGCTTTCTGTAGTATGGCAATTAATGCCATGTGAAATGGCATTCAAACTCACATCATTAGCATTTAACACTGAATAAAGCACATGAGGTGTACCTGAAGTGATCATTGTCAGTTTTCTGTTGTTCAGCTTTGACAAATAGAAGATGTTTCTAAAATATCAATTTGAGGTGTTGGTTAAAACAAAAACTACTTTTAATATGAAAAATATTCCTTGTGTTGCGTGCCATTGTTTTTATATAGATTTATATAGAATATATATATATATATATATATATATATATATATAGTTTTTATATACTGTATGTATATAGAATACGACTTAAATCAGCCTTATTGGTTGTCAGTCTGGCAACCTGTGCTTGCGTTTGTTTTGATTCACGAAAGCAATATCTAGTCCAACCACTGTGTCAAACTTACACACTGCACATTTAAACATCATATGCCATTATTTTGTTTTAAGTCTGTACAAAAGTTATTTTAACTTAAATACACAGTATTTTGGATACCAGAGCCGGGTATTTTACATGGGTTCATTTTCATATTTTTCATACGACACATGTACAAGTTATAGCTCAAATGAAAGCTCTTGCCGGTGCTCATACGGTTCTGGCATTCTTTTTACTGAATTATATTCACATATCAAACAGTTGCCGAATGAATTGCGGTGTTTTCATGGCGCAGAAGAGAAAACAATTCATTTATGATCAATAAGCAGCTCCAGATAGCACAGACAGCTGTCATCTCCTACCTTATGCTGTGCACTTCAGGGCCATTTCTCCTCTGTTTTTGAGGTGATGTGCATAAGTAATTCTTTTATATGTCTGACGTGTTCCAAACAAAGTGAATTATGTTTGATCAAACAAAAGAATAGTGAAATAGGAAAACAATGATCGGTCCCTGTGGCTTGTACAGCACCTCTCATCAGCTGTAATACAATAACTTTTGCATAGATTATGGTAGAGACGTTTTTCTTATTTCCTATGATTACAGACATGTGCAGGAACCACCAAAATTAATTACAGCACGCTAGATCAGAGGACCCCCCGAGGGGTCGCGGGACAATGAAGGGGGGTCGCCTGGTGATTTTCAAAAATCAATAAATTTTTATTAATACTTAAGACTTACTGTATTTTATCAATAACCTACTAAAGAGAAAAAATAGTCATTTATAGTTACTATAAACTATATAGTTACTATAGTAGCTTATAGTTAATAGTTCTATTGGATTGCGACTTCTCGGGTAATTACATTATACTTAAGGCATAGCAATACTTTCAGATGCAGCATATTGATTTTATAACACCAGGTTAAACTTTCTAGCCCATTTACAGCACTGACATACATAAAAAAAAAACAAAGAATAGACTTGGGTCTATTGGTGTGTGTGCGTCATTGCATACAAGGTTTCTGTATTCATAACCACTACCTCAGAGAATATTGGGGGTCACGAGTCACTGGCATTGTCAATTTGGGGGTCGCGGCCTGAAAAGTTTGGGAACCCCTGCGCTAGATCACACAGAACCTAAAAGGTACTCTTTCAAATTTAAGTTTATAAAAAAAAATACAAAAAGCGCCTCTTTTTTTAGGTGTTTATTAAAACACAGATAACAAATACAGATATTTTAAACGCTTTCAATAGTGTTTTATGAAAATTCAAAGGGTTTTCTTCAAACTGATACCAAATTTTTGCATTTACACCTCTGCATGTGGATTTGGGAAGCTTTTAAATTTGGGTAGGCAACATCCAGGCGGAAATCCCAAAATTACAGCAGAGTTTAACTGGTTAATAAAAATCATAATATCAATGCTTTATAATCATAATTTCAAGTACATTGTTAACGAACCTGTTTACTGAAGGCTTGGAAATTTTAGAAATCATTTAACACTGTTTAATTACTTTTCCAGTGATTTAAATTATCCCGAACAGATGTAGATTTGTGTTGTAGACCTACGTAGTAAATCTGCCTCATGTCTCCTCCCTCATCTCACACATATCCCATGTGTCTTAAACATTCAGTAATCTGACAGCGTTGTATTGCAGGTTTCTCCCAATGGGCTGCCAAGTTCTCGGTTACTAATTGTGCAAATCATGTGTAGCACTTTCAAGCGTTAATTCAACCTTCAGAGAGTTATAATTAGCGTCAAATATA